ATTTTTGAACTGACCTAAATATTGGAGTATATAGCCTAAACCCAGCAAGGTGGGAGCCTATTGGAGGTCTTCATTTACTGAAACCTGCTAGAGTGAACACCTGCATCTTTTTAATGGCTTAGGGCCCCCCTGGCGGAGAGCTTCCGAAGAGTTGCTAGAGTGGATGACCTGTCGGAAGATGGTACTTAGGCACTCCATGCATGCGTGTGGGATATTAAAGTTGCTTGAGCTCCACTTTCCTTGGGAGGAGAAGTGGGGTGATCGAGTTGAAAACTAGGACAGCCTGGTTGTCAAGACAAATCAGTCAGAACGCATCAAGGCCACCGGGGAGTCCGTTCCAAGAAGTGTGTTGACTGGTTTTCCTTGCCCCCCCAGAGAGCACTAGAGAAGACAACTAACATCAACTATGTTTTTGTTGACAATAGGAGTAACAATGGTTTTCCAGGAACTTTCTACATCTAAAACGACAATCCACCTACTTGCGCTAGTCTTTGCTGTTTGTTGACTCAGGATGCTGACGGCTATGACCTGATCCAGCTGCCCGACGGGCAACTGACCAAGGCGCGAGGGGGGGCGGGACATCCCAACCCTCGCGCAAGATCGGGGGGAGATCGCGGGCATTCCCCAACGACTTTTGGGCGCGTATGTGCGTTCTGGTGGACGGGTGGGTGTCTCAGTAGCGGGTGGAAGCGAAACTGGAAGCATTTGGTGGTGACTGGGCAAGATGGTGGGACCATGGACTGTTGAGAGAGCTGCAGCCCTGGTGGAAGATGGATTTGTAAATCATTGTAAATAAATCTGAGTGTATACCTGGACCCTCTAGTTTGTACCCTACAAACTGGGACAAGGCTCCATAGAAATTGTACTTACTGACTGTATAATGCTGTATACTACTATATACTGTATAACTGGATATGGCTAGAAATTGATTAATCCTGTCCACCTATTAAAAACACGGCCCCCCTCCCTCCCCCTATTAAGAGAGACTCGTTCGCATTTTTTAAAATAGGGGGTCCCTGAAATCGGGGGGTCCAAAATAGGGTCACCTGGGAAGAGCTTCAAAACCAACAAGTAATCCAAAAACAAATTAGATAAAATCCTTCATTAAACGCATATCGAACATTCAAACAACCTCCAGATCGAAGGGTCTTCCTTTCCCCTACAAAAACCTTTATTAGAATACTGATTCTTCATTAGACTGACTAACAACCAAAGCTTTCGAAAGGTGATGTCGCTGTGCCATGCGATTTTGCACGACCTCGGTGGCAACGTGAGTCCGTGCCATTGGAGGAAAGAAAACCTGCTGATGTAAACGATTGAGACTCCAATTCTCATGAATTGGCTCATATCTCCCTGCTACCTCCTGCAATCACCTCACCAACCATCATAGGGCCTCATTTTTTGTAATCAGATGAAGATCAAGCAGAATGTCAACTTCAAGCATCAAAGCTTTTGCAGAAGACTTTTGGTCTGAGTTTCAATTGCACTGACTCAGGTCTGGAGTCGACCTGTGAAAATACCTCGGAAACTTAGTAGTTACAGTCCTACCTGCTTATTATATACCTAGAGCCCCTTGGCTCATTTGACCTCTCCTTTGATAGGAAAGACCATATTTTGGGTGGTTGGTGGTCCAAAATAGGGGTCACTCAGGCTCTAGGCATAAATAAAGAATACATAAACAAAATAAACATATCATAATACTGTAGTTATATGTGTGTGCCGCGTACGAACAAGTCGGGTCCGACCCATGTTCGACTCGTCGTCTTGTGGGGCGTCGCCAGGTCTTCACACGTCGCGAGTTCCGCCTCCCCAACGATGCCTTCCGTGCAGCACTCAAGGGGTCCAAGCGGAAGCCGATGGAGCGCCAGGCTGGGAGGAAGCCGGACGAGAGTGTCTCAACTGAAAGGCTGAGAAGGGCCAAGGGTTCTGGGTGTGATGGGAAAACATATAGGAAAACACACCTGTTTTCACGCTGGATGTTGGAACATGATGCGAACACTCAGGATGGAGCACATGTTTTTCTTCACCTTAGCTTCTTCACCTTGGAGGCATCACCGTTCGGGAAGACCCTCCGAAAGCGGGCCGCCGGGCCCTGTCAAAACCAGGCCCACCAGGTTGGTTGACCTGGTAGTCTGATGTCTGTGGTAGTCTGCCAAGTTCTCCCGGGATTCACCCACAGCCATGTGGGTGTGTATTGAAAAGTGTATCAGTGGCGTCAGACTTCCTATTACACCTTCACTCAATTCAAGTGCCCGAACTCCACTGGATGCCGTCAGGAGTCTTAAAGATCTTAAAGCAAGATAAAGCAAGGAGGTTCTCCCAACATCCCTTCATCTCTCCAATCGAGTTAGCAGCTTGTTGGCCAGCAGGGTACGTACAACTTCGGATCTGTCGATGAACTACATCCACATCTCAATGATCAACTCAGCGTACCAATAGACTCACAGCCAAGAATAAGCATGAGTACAGTAAGCTATAATCATAATCAATCCATAGGCTGAAGGTGTTTGGTGCTTTTTGATGGGATTCAGCTTCATAGCTTAAAACACTTGATATATGTTATTATATGTATATATGTGCCCGAGTGCAAACACCGTATCACCAAGCGGTTGAACTCGTTGCTTCTTAACGGACACCAGACTCATCCCCGATCATCCCAAAATTCACTGTGCAAGACTGGGGTGACTCGAGGCCCTATGGACCATCCTGTCGGTGTGTCCTGGCTGGACTTCCCTACACTCCTGGGATCTCCAGCAAGAGCACCCCATGGATGGTCCAGTGTCAAATAGTCCCAGACACGACCAATGGGACTGCCATATATGCTTACATTGACCCCTAAAACCACCCCAATGTAGGCATATATGGCAGTCCTATGGAGTGTTTGGGAGTCTGAATTTCAATAGGGAACCCCGACATCACTTTACCGGGTAGACTGGTCTATTTCCCGAACCTTCTAAGGGGATGGGAACGCCTGGGAGGTCGACACACATTTTTTCATACACGCCTACACCGACACTCTTGCAGGCCCAACTGGGACGACTCACACAGTTGGAGCTAACGTTGGGGTTGCCATGCGACCCTTCCAGGGTAAAGTGGTGAGGTGGTGCAGGATTTCGTCCATCAACAGTACCAATGGATCGTGCATTTGAATTGAACCGCCCAGGTGAGGTTGAAGTGAAGATCCACCCACCAGAGAGGCGGTGGAAGCTGAAGGCTTCTACCGACAGCATTGACTTAGACTAATTCCATGGGTGCGTGGGCCATTTCTGTTTGAAGCCGGGCTTGTCTAGACTTGGTTGGGTGCTGAACATCGACATGCAGAGAAAATGTTGCATGGTGCACCTTATTTGCTGTTTCTTTCAAAAGACGTGTATTTGTTGCATCCGTTCGATGAAAATGTCCCATGTTCGCCGTTTTTCAGTCGGATCTGGCTTTTTGAGCAATATTTTGAGGTGCTTTCCTTGTATAGTCGGACCTCGCAAAGGCCAGACTGCTCCCATTTTCGCGCCGCCGAGACAAGTCTCGCGCCGGTCGGATTTCCAATGTCCGAAAGCAGACGGAAAAATGCAGCTGGATTGTTGTCTTTAGTGCCCATTTGCAGCTGTGCCCCTGCATGAGGCAGCTGGGTGCGGTGTTTTTTCGCTGTTCAGAATTGGCTTCGTTTGACCGACCTGAAATCGAAGATGCCGGGAGTCGATCACCTGTTTGGGACTATTGCCCGAGAAAAGGTGAGGGGTTGTTGAAGAGGGGTCTCGTTCCAACGTACGTGAATGGCACATGACCCGAAAGCCAGAAATGTGCCAAGCCTAGCTTGTATATATATTACCCATGTTCTGAGGTACGAACTGAGACTCCAGGTATACCGTGTTTTATTGGTTCCTCCGGGACGCCGATTGGTCGTTTCTTCTGCGCTCATACGATGCATCGAAGGACGGTTCGGTCTCCCGATGGTTCTCACGTTTGTTCGGTGGTTTTGGAACGTCCTCTCTATATCATATATATATATATTATAATATATAGAGCATCGGACTTCAGGGGACACGACCCCAAAATTTCGCAGGACCTTCCAAGAGGTGTTTATAACTAGCCGCTAGCCTCTTAGAGGTGATTCGGGGTGTCCAAAAACCACCTGTTGGAGGGTCCTGGTATAATTGTAGAGTATGGCAGTATCATTTTGGTTTTGAATCTACCAGCCCACCCCGAGTCCATAGGTTGCCATGTTGCAATAACTGCATAGACGTCCCGAGATTCAGAGATTTAGAGATCTGAGTTTGGGAGGATGATTCCTATAGATTCCTTCAGGTGAGGGGGTTTCAGACTGTTTGACGGCTTTATGGATCCACTTCACATACCAGGCCGGCCGTGGGTCGGCTTGATTTCCACCCGTTTGCGGAAGTTTTTCCACGGTCTTCGCCGAAGATCGGCGATCGTGAGAAGTCCGGACCTCTGGGTGTCCATCCGATGGACACCACACCCGCCGCCTCGGGGAGTGGTCCCTCACCGTGGAGAGCGGTCCACCATCACCAGATGTCGTGGGGAGAGACCTGGGGTGTCGACCGGTACAGACTCTACAGACATCTACAGACTGCATCTACAGACTGAGGTACACACACTCCGGGTTGACACAACTCTTCCTGGACCTGAGGTAGACCCTTGTCGGGTAATCTGATAGAAAATGATACATCACCCAAACACAAAACAGGGTTGCGACATGTTGCGACGGTAATGTTCCGAGGAAACGGGTTGACTCCAGGTTGCTGTGGTTTCAGAGTAGATGTCACTAGACAGATGGGGGTCCATATTGACCACCAAACCTCGGGGCCCAGACGTGCCATCGAACCTCTGAAACCCACTGTACCAGGAGTTTCATGGAGTTGGATGCGGACTCCATGGAGGGCTCAGTGAATGGGTGCCCTTGTCACATCCATTGGATGGGACGAGGCACACCACCACAACCCGAGCGACATGTGACCCCTGGTAGAAGTCCTGGTAGTCGTCAGGTTGCTCGAGAGCTCTTGGCCAAGCTACCACCACAAGACTTTGATGGTGCGCCCCGCAGCGTTTTGGAGCGAGCGGAGCGAAGCGCGAAGTCGGACGGAGCGACGCTCCATCCGGGCATTGGACTGGACTTCTATAGGTTCCTTAATAGATGGTGGTCACTAGGACAAATCCAGTGGGGCCTGGTAGGACAAGAGGCGGATCCAGTAGTCCTGCCTCAAATTGAGGCATGCCTCAAGGGCACGAACCTTATGGCACGAAGATACACGGAAAGAATGTGTTTTTTAATCGTTTAAATGGGGTCAAGTCGACTTGGATACTCCATAACAATGAACAAGTGAGCTACTTGGAAGGAGGATCCCAGTGTGTTCGATGCTAGAAACGCCCTAAAACCTCCCTCGACTTTGCTCGCCACTCGACGACTTTGCTCGCCACTCGACGACTTGCCCCTCGACAGGCGTGGTTTTCTTAGACCCGAGCGATCGGAAGATGATCTTGCTGAGGTGGAGGGAGGGTTGACCGAAAACACCGGCGGACTGTGATTCCCGAATACAGGGGCAGGGGGTGTGTTGAACTTCATCGCAGCAGGGCAGCCAACCACGGAGCATGGAACTGTAGTGCGGTAATAGTAGTGTTTTGTATCTGCATGTTTGTATATATATATATACCTAGAACCTCTTCTTGGGCAGAAACTTCTGCCTATTATGGGTAAAGGCGGCCGTGCCCATGCTTAGGCGTTCTTGCCCCCTGTAAGCGTTCTTGTCCCCTCTGGGCGTTCTTGCCCTTTTGGTGGCATTGCTCAAAAGGATGAGGATCCACCCACCACTGATTCCAGGAGCTTTCATAGAGGTACATTTGTTTGTCATGAATTCACTTAATGTTTCTCTTGTGATCTCTTTTGATTGTTTTTGATTGTTCTATGCTTTGATTCATTACTTTATGCGAATGGAAGTGCAGCGACACGTACAGTGCAACTTGTACATATATATGTACCATATGTACTTTGGCTCAAGGATCAAACGACTAGAAAAGGTGCGGTTTCCGTTCCGACGCTACGCCGCTTATGGACCGTCAGTGATAGCTTCAAACTTCGCTGATTAAGATCCACTCGCAGGTTATCAGCCGTACGCGCTCTTTATAGCCGTACGAGCTACACGAGACCAAGAACAAGACTAGTCATTACAGAAACCTGCAATGTCAAGCTCAGGAGGAAATGGAAGCGAGCCCTATTCATTCGCTGCTCCTGGTGGTCCCAACACCATTTCGTCACCAGACTCTACAATGGGTACTGATTCATCAGCAAATGCTGACGTTATCACTATGCCTACTGGATCACAAATCTCGGAAAGATCCGTGCCACCGGCTCGGAATCTGACCGATCTTGCACCCGTAGGACCAAGAAGATCGATGAGAGCTACAACAAGATCTACATCGCCTATAACGTCTACCGCGAGATCCCCAAGAAGGAGTATAGAGAAGAGACGTGACGATGATAGAGGAACAAAAGAGCAAAGAAGAGAGATTCAGCTGGGTGAAGAATTGAGATCAGCGAGAAACGCATACAACTTTCTTCATGAAGAATATGAATGCATCCAAGCCGGATACTCACGACTACACCACGAGGCTGAAGTGGAGTTCAGGCAAATGTCTGACTACAACAGGAAGATGCAGGAACATCTACAAGAGATGACACAGGAAGACGAAGGAGCGACAATAAGAATTGAAGAGCTTGAACACAAGCTACGCTTGGCGGAATCGACAGCTGAACATATCTACATGAGATATCAAGAGCTTGCACAAGAAACTCATCAAGAACATTCAGAGCTTGAATCTGTGAAAGCAACGAAGGACAGAATGTCCCAAGAGCTTCAAGCAGCAATTGGACACATCCAAGAACAGAATGAATCTTCATTGGCGATCAATAGAAGATCAAAAGCCATTCAGGATGAGAACACAGCCTTCGTCGGAATAGCTGACCAGATACAAGCTAGAATGATTGCGCTACAGGATGAGAATGTCAACATGCACGAGGTGATCCAACACCAGAGAGAAGAACAATGGAACAGTGAGGTCAGGGAAAGACGTCTTCAACACAGTGTTCACTCATCTCAAGGTCAGAGCAATCAGGAAGCTATGGTTATTGATCATCTACGAGGTCAACTAGCTATGGCACGTGGAGCTGAACTCAACGCGAGAGCGGAGATAGGAGAGATGGAAGTGGGCATGAGGATGGAGATGTTTATATGCCAGACTGAAGTCTCTGCTAAAGAAATGGCAGAAATGAAGGCGAGCCACCATGAATACGAAGCAAACGTCGCAAAGGAGGTTATCGCAAAAGGAGAAATATTCAACAACGAAGTCCTAGAAAGTTCCATCCGTGAACGACAACAATTGAAAGATGTCAACCTCGCTCTATCCGAAGCCAACGCACAGCTGAAAAGAGAGAATATGATGAGAGCTCCTATGTTCGGCGATGATGGTGCTGAAATTCAACAGAAGATCAGAGAACTGGAGAATGCACTATTGGAAAGCCAGAAGGAGACAAAGAATGTCATTATGGAAAATGCGAAATTAAAAGCAGAAGCACGAATGGCACCCATAGTCTCTCGGTACAGCAAGCGTCCTAGTTCCAGAGACCGCGGGTTACCAACCCACGCGTCCGAGGAAGATGAGGTTCGGAACGCAAAAGAGGAGGCGAAGCACTACAAGGACGGGTACAATGAAATGACAGAGAGCCGAGATGAGATGTATGAATGGTATGCCGAAACCCACAATGAGTACGCCGAGGAAAGGGAGAAATCAATTGAGCTATCCGAGGCGAACAAATCATTGAGGGACAAGATTTCAGAAGCAGAGGCATCCTCTTCATCTCATCTTGCACCGGCAACCTCTACTGTCATGAAAGTATCGAGGAAGGAAGAATCAAAGATAAACGTTCCGTCATGGCCCAGGATCAATGATCTTGGACTATGGAAGGCAAATCTCATTCAATCGATCATCATTGCGGCCAATGATTCAGATCAAGAGCCCTGGATCGACTGGATCAAAGAAGCCATGGACGATCCTGATCCGGACAAGTTTGTCGACTCAGGAGACCAAAGATTCCATTCAATCGATGCCAAACTCGGCCTAGCTCTTACCAAGGTCGTCATGGATGCGAAAGATGATGGTTCAGGTGTAGCTATGAAGTTGAGGACGAGGATCAATGCAAAAGGGAGAACATCAAGCCTCATAAAGGGAAGAGAGGTCCTAGCCCTGATCCTTATGAATTTCAAGACAACATCAAATGTGGAAGTCTTATATACTTCAATGCACCTCTACCAACTAGAATATCAAGGAGACAAGAACTTATCGTTGTTCTTCCACACTTGGGATGAGATTCTGGCAGGAATGAAGCCCGTTGACGTCCCGAGCGACGAAACTCTTCGGGATCTCCTATGGAGAAAGATCAGGAACTCAAACCTCATGGCATACGACATCAGCGCCTACAATAGCATGAACGACGATGATGCCAAGAAGACATACAAACATCTACGTGATATGATCAGAAGGCACATCGAACGGCAAACTGAAGACAGGATGATCCTGGAAAAGGAGAAGGCAGTGAAGAATGTGGCCAATATCTTTCAGAATCTCAAACCAGGCGGACCTGCTCCAAAACTGAAAGCTGCACCAGCTGATCCGAAGAAGAAACCAAAAGGGCAACAAGAACAGGTTGTCTCAGAAGACGCTGCTGCAGTGAAGCCGAAACCCAATCCCAAGAAGCATCCTGAAGACAAGAACAAAAAGGGAAAGGGGAAAGGTAAAGGTGATGGAAAGGATCGCAGCCGAAGTCCGAGTACAGACAAGAAGAAGATACCATGCAAATTCTTCGTGAAAGGTAACTGCACTATGGGGAAAGATTGCCCATTCAGTCACAAGAAACCCAGATCACCATCCAGAGGATCTTCTGTCGGAAAGAATGACAAGCCAGTATGTTGGATGTGGATTCGAGGAACTTGTGACAAAGGAAAGGATTGCAAGTTCTACCATGACCCAAAAGCCTCTCCTAAGAAAGGGATATCTGCACCAGCTGACTCAGGAGACGATAGGCCAAAGCCCAAGGCAAAACCCAAACCGAAGCCTAAGGCGAAGCCTGGAGCCCCAGCCATTGACGGTGAACTCTTCATGGACGAATCCGAAGATGAAGGGATTGCTGCATCCGCCAAGGCAAGAGAAGGAGGTGCAAAAGTATCCTTTGATGAAGAGACTTGTGAGATCATGTTGAACGAAGCGATCTACTCAGTCAGGGACAAATGGAAGGTAGTAGAAAAGAAACCTCTACGTCCGGACATCAAACGATACGATGAGAAAGAGCTCACCTGCTACACGAGGAAAGAACAAATCAGATTTGAAGAAAAGGTCGCAGAGGCGAGAGGCATATTGATGGTCCCCTACACTGAGATCAAGAGGGTCCGAATACCAGTTGGACCAAAGGGTGACCTATCGGTCACTATGTCTTTTGACGAAGATGACGGCCTAGTTTTCCATCATAAAGTCATTCCTCATGTATGCGAGGGAAAGAAAGATCATGCAGACACAAAGACATTGTCTATTCCAGCCAAAGGATCAAGAACGAAGTTCATCATGGACACAGGATGTGGGTATGATTTGATATCGAAAGGCAGAGCCAAGAAATTAGGTCTGGAAGTGAGAGAAAGCGACCAATCAATGTCATTCTATACTGCAAATGGAGTGACATCCACAAAAGGAGTCGCCGACATTCATTTCGACGAATTTGACTCTACCTACTCCCCATTCGTCCTAGATGAGTCTCCTTCAGTACTGTCTGTTGGAAAGAAATGCATGGAGGAAGGATACACATTCATATGGCCAGCCTGCGGCAACCCGTACATGGTTTCCCCGAACTACAAGAAAATCATGCTAGAAGTAGAGGGAAACATCCCATATATTGTCAAGGGCAGTGACTTCTGTACTCCCACCGACGATACAAGGGCGGAGATGATCGCAAGGTTCACCCTAGGAGAAGATGAAGCTGATTACCAATCGACTTTCATCAACTGTGATGTGGATCCTCAAGGAATCATGTGTGATGATGACGACCTCCCTGTGATTGAACCTCCAAAAGTCAAAAGGCGAAAGAGGAATAAGAAGTTCAAGGCATCTCCTGGAGAAGAAGATGAGGTAGGATCAGATGTCGCCGGAGACAGTGAACCAGAAGCTGACGATGATGATGCAGATGACATCGAGGTGGATGTTGTTGACGGTGCAAGTAGAATGGTGAGAAGAGGAACTCTGAAAGCAGATGCCAGGAAAATCGAGCATCTACTCACACATCGTTACAAGAATCCCTACTGTGAGTCATGCATCAGAGCAAAGATGAAACACTTCAAGACGCATCGAGGAGCGTTCAAGAGAAAGCTCAAAGCTTTTGGAGATCTGGTTACCTTTGATTTTGTCGATACGAGGAACATCCTTGATCAAGGGATCAGTACTGATCGAG